GGTCATCTGAATCATTTTCTTACTCTCTAATGCTGGTTTATTTCTATTTCTATTTTGAGATGTTTCTATTTTAGAATTGTTTATTTCTACTTTAAACTTTAAGTTTAATTTGTTATTATGTGCAATGCCTTGTTCTGTTTTATGCTGCTGCAACAACCATTTCCCCAAATTGGGATTAATAAAGTATATCTTATCTTACTTGACACATATATAATCAAAACAGTGTTTGTTTGTGTCTTATAATTAGAACTCAATTTTTTTTCTTAGACAAATCTTCGCTTTAGGGCATTTGCTGCTGTAAAACCAAAGTGTGATGATAGATTTAATAAAACCTGTTACACTTATTTTGTTAAATATACAGGAGCAAAGTGTACCTGCCTCAATGTACTGAAGCAGTGCCTTTGTATTCTAGACAAACAGGTTTGTGAAAGTCCAAACTGAGTGTCTAAATATAAATATGACATAATGTATCTGATAAACACACGTGTTGGATAGTCATGTGAAATAAACTGTGTAAAAAGATACTAAACTAAAAGAGTCAGCACTGACACATAGTCTTTGACAGGGCTTGCAGAAAGAAAACAAACTGCTACTTTGTCTTTTAATTAAGTGAAAAGAACCCTGCAAAATCAAGAACATATCAAATCCTATTTAAGTACGAGCGTCATGAATTTCATTTGTGGTGTCATTTAGAGGAAATCTGGAGCGTATTCACTGACAAAGATACAGTATGTTTCTGTTTGTGCAAAAGGCCCCAGCTACAGTGTAGTGCTAAGATAGTCAGAACTCAATTTCAAGTATTTAGTGGTTTGTTCATGGAAACGTCAGCAAGCAAAGGTCCTCTAACCACTAACGCTCTGTGGCCATACTGTGACATGACCAAAGCTGATTTCAGTTTTACATACAATACCAAAGAATCTGCTCTTTTACTTATCTCAACATCAAATGTTTCGGCTCTCTGGTTAAAGTTTTCAGTTAAGTGTTCTTATTCATGAATGTAGTTCAAGTAAAAGTTTGAAATTCCATGCTTTTTTGAGGGATTGCAATGTCCATGTAATGCCTATTATATCAGTGCTCCTGCAGATGGTTAATTCAGACAATACAGTATGATGTAAGATTTGTAGCAGCAGTACAACTTTTTACATAGAAATGTTTTTCATCCACAGTTTAAGGAGCTGAGCCCTAGCTCAACATCCCAGTGGCACCACTTAAAGGACAAGTTCTCCATTGTGTAGCTTTATGGAGGACCTGATGTGTGCATTTACAAGTTCTGCTTGGACTGTCTAGTGAATGTGTAACGTGGCAGGCATTCCCCTATAAGAGAATATTTTAATGTGCACATTTCAGTGGTTTTCTGATACAGTTCATCATCAGGTGAAAAAGATTTCTCGCACAAGACGTAGGGCATCATCTTCATCCTCCTCCTCCTCCTCCTCCTCCGCTGCTTCTGCCAGCACCTGTGAGTGCTCCTCTTTTTCTTCAGCATCCAGTTCAACATTCACATGAATGCTGTGATCCTGTACTGGTCCTAACCTCTGACCCTCAGCTCCCTGATGCTGCTCGCTCTTTGTGTACGGCAATGTTTCCACCTCTGTGATGTCCATGTCAGTTTCTGAAGCATACTTTGAGGCCAGGGCATCCCCGCTGTCTGAGGACTCCTCTATAATCACAGGCTTCACCGTCGTCTTTAAGATGGCAGGGCTCTTCCTCATTTTCACTGTGGTGTCTACTTCCTTGTCTTCCACCTGTGTGTGACAGGGTTTATCACTCATAATTACACAATGCTTTATATATATCTTGCATTTCACATCCACTATAACAAACGGTGTAAGATATGATTTTACTGTGGGTCCTTTACTCAACTTTTTTACATGTAATTTATTTGAGACACAGACTTGGGCTGTATATCATTTCTAGGCAGACAAATTGTGTTTTGCCTACTAAAATCCAAATATATTTGATTTTCACTAATCGATGTTCCTTTTTGGTTGTTTTACACAATGTCAACATCCTGAACAATATATATATATATTTTTTTTATATCACAGTAGGCCTATATCAATTACTGGGTCTCCACATTTTTCATTAACATTGATACATATAGTATACCGGTCAGTTTATGGCATCCCCCCCATTTAAAGCGTTAAAAATGGAGAAACAGCGCTACCTTTTGGTCAGTGGGGAGAGCACCGTCGTCGCAGGCTCCATTGGTAAGATATGAGACAGCTGCCTCCACTAGCTCCTGTTCGTTCATACAGTAGAAAACAGCCCTGGAAACACACCAGTTCATCTTTGTTAGTCCAAATTAAATGAGGAAACTTGATCTGAAGCATTAAACTGAAGCCTGTTGTTGTTATGTAGATTATTTTACGTCATTTACCTTGCAGTTTTCCGTTTTCTCTTGCTCTTCAGAGGTTCCTTCTCTTTCACTTTCTCTTCCTTCTTCGACATCCATGTCGGCAGCGCCCGGTGCTTTTGGGGCATTTTGGCCTTTAAAAAACAACTAAATCATCTGTTTATCTATACAAAAGTTACTGAGTGTAACCGGTTTTAACCATTTAGTAAATAGGAAGCAGAAACACGAGGTTTGCAGCTTGTGTAAGTCACGTGACCGAAATGACTGGGTCATCAGCGCCACTTAGCGGACAAATAGCAGAATCGATAACAAGAAAAGGTTAACACTTCCTTCACAATTTTACATTTGAGTTGTTTAACGTTTCACATTAGCTCCAGGCAGTTTATTAGGAGGAATTTAATCCTCATTTACTCTCTTTAACACAAAAAAAAGCCTAGAACAAGGCATGGCATTTAATTGGTTGATACACCACTAGTAGGCTATGTAACAGACTCTGCAAACTCTATTGACTTTAAAATATTTCCCTGCCCTTAGATGCTTAAGTGGGTATTTTTTGACCCGGTGAGGTGTTTTTTTTTAAGTATCTTTGTAGTTACATTTTTTTAATCATTTCATATTCCAGCTATTCCTCAAAAAACATGTTTTGGATATCATGCTTTTCAAATTTTAAATTTAAATTTTAAGAAATTGTAGTTTTTGTATTACTACCCCAAGCTTCCATAAGTGGGTCAAAAATGACCTGCATGCATTTCCTATGGGAAAACGTTTTTTTTGAAAATGTAAAAAAAAAATGTCTAAAATGATAAATAGTGAAATATAAAATATTTTTAATGTGAACCAAAATATAATACTAAATATTATACAAGTGATTTTTCTTAACCAAAATGGCATAAAAACACATATAATTCTAATACGGGTCCTTTTTGACCCACTTATGGAAGAGTGTAGGCTCCAGTCACTCGTGCATCTACTGTAAGGGTTAAAATCTGAGTAGAAGAATCGGTATGAAATGCAAAAAGGCTACTTCTGTTTCCAAGGAACCCAAGAACCTGTCACATAAGTAGTGCTTAAGCTACAACCAACTGCCCTAAATCACAAACAATTAGACTAAACGGGACTTTATATAATTACTTGATAACCTTTTTGGAGTTGACTTGATGGATTCATAGAAACTTTATTGTATTGAGATGAGTTTAATTTGAATGGGTCTTCAGATGATGAAATCATAAACTGTACTAGTATTTGCAAATAAATGGATTATTCTTATTCTTGTTTTTCTGACAATGTATAGCATATGCTGAAAAGAGTTCTAATGACCCGGCTTTTTCCTTATTATATGTACTTGTAGTTGTAGCAAATATTGAAAGGACTGTGGACTATAGTGCTGAAAATGGGATGAATGTATAGTATTCACAGAATTAAACTACACTTTAAATTATCTCCCAATCTCTTTCTCTCTATCTATCTTGATGTATTTCAATCTCCGACAGATGTACCGACCCACATATATAAACACTCACACACGCCCACACACAATGTACATGCTATCGTCAGAATTAATCTGCGTTGTAGTTGTGTACTGTGCAATTAAAACTGTGTTGCACTAAATTCACATCCCTCACCCTGGGTTAGGGTTCAGTCAAGTTAGTGTCTTCTTTTATCCACAGTTGCTGTTACTTGTGATTGTCATTTGGGTGTCTCGCTGAAATATTTGTATTGTATTGGCCCCCCAGTATCATAAAGAAACACTTCGTTAACAAAATACAGGAAAAAAACATGTATTCACACTTCTTGTTTTATTGTTATTTTTTAATAATAATTGTTATAGTTTGATAGCATTCTGGGTACGTGTGGACATACTGAGGCAGGATGTTCTCTAACCCTGTGTGTTTTACTCTCCACACCCATCGGCAGATAATCCACAATAGTCTAGTCACGTCGTGTGAAACATTTCTCACTTTTCCTTCTTTTCTCCTCCCTGAATTAATCTGGATTGCAGTACTGTACTGTGCAATTCAAACTGTGTTGCACTTATCTAAATTCATATCTCTCACGCTGATCTGA